GCAAAATTGCCAAGGTTTATTTGCATAAACAACACGCTTAAGTTGTCTCATAATAGCCCGGTCCAAAACCTTCTGATGTTTACCACCAAATGCTTTAATTTTGTCTTGCTGCAATCGCTGTTTAGCAGAAATTTATAGCAGAGTTTAGTAACCAAAAAAAGAAAAAAAAAAAGCAAAGTATACCTCTGAGTAGTGTGGTTCAAGACGTCAAAAAAGAAAAGAAAAAAATTGTGTATTTTCTTGTAAAGAATATAAAATTATAATGCATTATTTAGTATCTCCATACAATTTCAGAAATCTTGTTATATTTTGAACTTGAAAAATAAGCAACTTTTGCAGAAAACTACTCATTACCGACGACATCAATCACTGTACCCTTATTGTTGTTATCCAAGTAGCGTCAATGTTATGATTGAGAATCAAATTCTGCTGTTTTTGCTCTTATAATTTTCCAGTGTCAGTAATTATTGTTCGATCAATTTAGGATTTAACTGTTCGCAACAGGAACGTTTTGTTCACCTACAATAACTCTAAATTAACCAGTTGTTTGATGTCAATTGGTTATTAAGTATTTCATGCTTGGAATAAAATTACCAGTTTTTAATGTGATAAATGTTTCCTTAAATTGTCAAAATTGGTCTAAGCTTTTCAATTGCATTAACGGTAGCACAACAGTTCCTGTGCATATAGTTTAAATGCGGTTATCGCAAGCGATCATTGATGAATTATCTTTTATCAATTATCATTATGTTTTATCATTCTAACAACTGCTATAGCTCTACTTGAATTTTACTAATTAGTTTACGATTATAACAGTAACAAATTTCGTTGATAAAGTTACAAATAATTTTTGGCTTGTAAAAATTAAAATGCAACTTGTAAAACTTTGGAAGAAGTTTAATGTAAAAGTATATATTTGCAATATAGTTCTTCAAGTTTGTGGCGCACATTTGGAGAAGTTTGAAGAGTATAACAGAAAAAGATTTGCAAAGATTCTTTTAAAATTTAATTTTTATTTAAAGCAATTTTAAGTACTCACATTGCTTATTCTGTACATTAATTAAGTCTTAAATGTCTTTTTTTTTCTTAAGTTTGAGGTTACATTTTATCAGATTAAAATAATTCTTACAGCAGTTTATCATCAGAGTTTTAAATATTTTCCCTCTCTCTTCGGCACATTACACAATATTATGCCTAGCTTTTTTTTTTTCTTCTTGAGATTACAAAGTCAAGATAAGGTCATTTTAACCAAGAAAACCAGGAAAAAAATACCAAAACTAGGGCAAACAATTGAAAACATGAATAGTTCAAAGCAGCAGTTATTCTAGAGCAAATAATAGAAGAGAAAAAGTGTCAGCAAAGAAAAGTGTTAAGATTTTGTTAATTTTATTTTAGTTGGGAAATTCTCAATAAGTTGCAAGCTAAACTATTGCATAAGTGTTATTTTTGATTTTAAAAAATTAATAAAAATTATCAAGGAATTTAATGAAAAAATTACTAACAAAATGTTGTCGTTGCTCTTAAAAGAACGGAAATCTCGAGCAAATTATGCAAAATGAACGTTTAACCATCAATAACTTTTGCTGCATTTATATCAAAAAGCCATTTTAGCAAACTCTCAGATATTTAAAGGTAAAATAAAATGTAATAATTGTACAATCAGTGTTTATCAAATTTACTGATACATAGTTGAATACGACTGGTTTCAACAAAAAAAAAAAAAAAAAAAAACCTTTTGAAATTTCGATAAAAAAATGTGTAAATTTTTTTTTTTGGCATTTATGGCATTCTGTTTAATTAAATCTTTTACAAACTGAAACTAATCTGTTGTATTAAACGTAAAATAGTTGCCATTTGTCAGACAAAATTTCATATTTTGCCATTTAAACGTTTTGAAGCTTACAAATTGTGAGACGTTCTGTTTATCGCAATTACTGACAAAACGGAATCTGATAAATAACAATGATCACCCTAAATGAGGATAATTGTGATGGCAGTGACAACGATTTTTGCGTTACAGCTATATACAAAGATCACTTTTTATTGGTATAATAATCAGTTGATCAATTTTGCTGTAAAACAGGTTTCCGGATTAAACCATGCAATAAAAAAAAAAAACTTTTTTTTTTTTTTT